ATGATAAATTGAAACCATCGATTGGGATTTTGGTATACCAGCCATAGCGACAAAACCATAACCAGGGACCAGGGGGTGTTTCACACAGATCATTCACTGGCGTACTGATGGAGGGGCTTGTGGGCAGTTGTCCCCCGCCATTAAATTAAAACGTGGTTTATTTCTTATTCGACACCAGTGATTTACAAATGTTCCTGAAATGACATGATATTCTGGGTTTTTCAAGTTCTCACTTTTGCCCATTATGCCAGAGGCGGCATTCCCGGTGGGGGGGGGGGGGGGGGGGGGGGGAATGTGCCTCAAGTTTCCATTCATCCTCAAAGTGCCCCTTTTAACATAGGACAAGTGCCCCTTTTCTTTTCGAATTACTGTCCATTTCCTCTCTTTTTATCTCTGGTGAGTTCCTCTTTTTAGGTGCGAGAAATTCCCCCTTTCGCCTCTGATATTTTTGTCCTTTTTACTTTGACTCGGGCCCCTTTTCTTTTTTAATAAGTGTACTTCTTCCTTCGTAATAAAAACCCCCTTACCTTTCCCTTAAATGTCACCTTTCACCTCTGATAAGTACCCCTTTTATTTTGACACGTGCACTTTTCCTTTCTAATAAGTACCATATTTCCTTCGGATAAGTGCCCCTTTTCATTTTTATATGAGCCCCTTCCCCTTTTCAAAATGCCCCTTTTAACATCTGATTAATGCCCCTATTAAAATTTGTTTGGTGCTCTCATTTCCATTCTCACAAGTGCCTTTTTTAATCCCTGTTGAGTGTCCTTTTTCAGGTGCAAGAAGTGCCATTTTCACCTCTGATAATCGCCCTTTTTATTTTGACACGAGCACCTTTTCTTTTCTAATAACTGTCCTTTTCCCTTTGATGAGCGCCTACTTTTCCTTTCCCCATAACATGCACCCCTAATTCAAGGCTACCTAGAACCTCTTTTTCTTCTAAGTTTCCAGTTATAGATTATAATTATGTTATTTGATATAAAGGAACTTTTCAGTCTTTTTTCATTAGATTGTGCTTAATACTCATCAGGGTTTGTTTTTTGTCTTCTTTATAAGATGTGATTTTTCGCACTGTGACCTCACAAATCTTAATATTTTTGCTCCCTCGCTTCGCTCGCTCGAAAACGAATATTCAGACCATCACACCCAACTGCAGAGTATGTTACTTAATTAAGCAGTTTCTTGTACCACGTAAATAAAGAAACAAATATTGATATCATCCCTGGTAGAGTAATCACAATCATGACGATGCAGGGGTATATACCAATGTCTAAAAATGGTGTATGTTTTGTTTATGGTTCCTTCTGTAGGTGCCCCTTGTTTCCAGAAAGTGCCCTTTTGTGTTGATGCCCCCCCCCCCCCTATTTTGAAAGCCGCTCCGCCGCCCCTGCGTGGTGATTTGGATTTTGTTGTGACCCCCAAAAAGGTTTTGCTCATTACACCACTGGAGGCATTAGGGAAGTAGATATATTTTGTAAACGGAAAACAGTAGACTCCCCTTTTATGAAGTCAGGTTCCAATTACATTTTTCTGAGTCAGATTACAATTGCATATGGCACTCGGTACTTCCTAACATTTCGCTGTAATCACGTGTATTTGTGAAAGTGAGTGTTTAGATATATTTGTAAACGGAAAACGGTAGCCATTTTATGAAGTCAGATTACAATCACATGATACTATCTAGTATCTAACGTTGTCAATGTTTGGCATCAATACGCGTGTGTTATTTTAGTGTGACTATAATCATTTTGCTGGAATCACAGTATTTTTGAAGGTGAGTGTTTAGATATATTTGTAAACGGAATGTTGAGTCAAGTTTATTGCTGTTGTCACCGGTCTGCACCAGCTAGCAGGCCGAATAAATGACTCCTTGCTATAGTATAAGTACGTTTTAAAATAACCTGGTAAGTTTGGCAGCGGTTCTCTCTAATCTGATATGTGTATATTTAGTTGTAAATGTGTGTGAACTGTGATAATGTATGCATTTCATCATCATTTCATTCATATGAAGATTATGTGTGGCCCATGGGTAGATTGAAAATAACAGTCTGATTATGGGTAATTCTTCAAAAAATTACATTTTGCCAATCTTCCCCAGCACGGCGGTTGACATATCATTATAATAATAATCCGGTTCACAATACTGACTGAGAAAGTTGATATTTCATGCCGCACCCCCATGGTCTTTTGGCAGCTCAATATTCATATTATTTTATTACCGCTTTTTGTTTACCACTAAATAAGGTTTACTGTCTTATGCCACCTTTTTCTATCTTTCCTTGTTAATTATAAAAACTTCTGGTTATCAGCCATTCTATTCACCTGCTATATGAATAATGCTGCCTGTAAGTATCGGCTTGCATGGTGATGTAGATGCTTGAGGATGCACCATGTGAGAGAGGGGGAGGATTGAGGAGTCCTGAAAATGACTGTTGATGAAGTCTTGAAAAAGACTGTTGGTTATCTTTCTTAGCTTATAGTTCTAAGGAGAACTATAGCGCTTGGAGAGGATGGGCGGCGGAAGTGGCTCGACGTTTCGAACAGGTTGACTATCCGTCGTCAGGAGACTCCTGACTCCTGCCGACGGATAGTCAACCTTTATTTTTAATAAACCATTCAATAAGTAAATAAATAAATAAACAGATCCATTAGATTTAGCAATGAACTTGTTTACTCCAATACGTGTTGAGCAACTCAAGCTTTATTCCTTCAGATCACACTAGACGTCCTCCATTTGAAAATGACTTTAGGATTGTTATTCTTTTCTTTAATGCAGTTCTACTGGAAGAAATTGATGACTCTTAACATGATGAAGGAACATGGCATGCTGTGTTGTTTTGTACCAACTATCGTCTATCTTCTTCTGCCTAGTCTTCCAATCACTGGAGCATTCGATGAATGTGTAAAGATATATAATGGTAAGCACTCGTTACCTCCACCAGTCCAGGATCTGGCCGATTGTATTTTATGAGCCTTTACACCGCGAAAATGGCGTTATCCTAAATTTGTCATAAATGATCCTACATTTCCCCCTTCAACAGGGATCCTTTATTAAATATCATCGTTCACATATGCATTCAAGAAGAGATATATACATTCAGAATTTCAAAATGATATTCTTGGCCATTCAAAATATGATAAGAACATACTTTTTATAGATATCAGTTACAAATTGGAGTTCATTTTTAAAATATCACAGATTTATTTGGCAAAAGAATTTAGAAGAAATAAACAATCAGAAACACTTTATAAAAAGTGACCACTTTTTTCATAAATTTATTTTCTTTCAGATTTGTTTGACATAATCAATTACTTTTCCATGTCATAATAACACTTTATCGCTGATATAATGTGTTTAAAAACTGGCAAACACTGTTTGCATTTGGCTGCAAAAAAATCTTTCCTTACTATAATTTTAATACAGTTGAGAGCACTGTTATTATTTCCATGGAACCCAGACAATTTATTTTGATTTCTAAACTTAATAATTATGTACATTATTACGGGACAGCTAATACTCAAGTTTTTACCATATTTCGTTTGAATAAATACAGTAACAAGATTTACGTATACTCGTTTCTTCACTGTTATTACATAATGTACATCTGTAACTAATTTAAACGTTAACAAAGCATCTTTCACATAAAGAATTCTATATACAGCCTTTTCACACACAGCTAAAATTCTATAAACATGATTAGTATAAACGTGTTTGAAACGTGTTTAAACTAATCACGAGCCTTTCACACACAGAAATTTCGGTGCGATCGTTAATCGTTTCGTGATTAACTACTGCTCGTAAAATGCGCAGTAGTGCCATTGCGCATTGAAGGTCATGCCATATCAATCAAAGTGCACGCTCCATCCAGTTTAAACACGTCTGAAACACGTTTAAACACGAATAACCTTTCACACACAAAATGTCAAGCTCTCTAGATACGAACTTCGTATCTGCAGCCTGCTTTTAGGGGCGTATGCACCGCGACTTCGTATCTATCCCAACATCGTATAAACGATGTTCACACTGGGAAAATTTTCTATAAACATGTTTAAAACTGTTGAGTTAAACACGTTTATACTAATCATCTCTGGATACGATGAATTTTAGCTGTGTGTGAAAAGGCTGTCAGTATCCTGAACTGAAACCACCCCATGTTTACATTGACAGTTGAATGAAAGGGAAGTAGGTAATAAGATATAATCTATGGCATGAAACTAGATGAGGGGTTGAATGATAATATTCGATGATGCTACATTAATCAACATCCCAATTTAATTCTTCCCTTTTTAATTGTGATTTACACGAGCCTTCCAGACGGCTATAAACAAAAACAATGGGAAAGAGATATTGGAAATATTCCAATAAGTCACATGCAATTTGATGTAAAGTTGTAAACAATATGAAAGATAGTCTAGTTATATAGCGAAAGACTGCCGCTTTTCACACTACACTACACTACGCTTTAACACTACATGATATAAACCGGAGTTGTCGAAATGCGATGTCGCTGATGATTGTCAATGATGATACACTGACAAGAGTCGACGACGATGTCGAAGAAACGAGAGTCGATGAACTGGAAGGTAAGACTAAAAATACAATTAAGGGCCCCGTCTTACAAAGAGTTGCGATTGATCTGAATCAATCGCAAGTCCTCCAATCAATCTCAAGTTTCCAGTCTCCTATCTATTGTGTATATAGTTGCGATTTAAATCAATCGCAAATAATTTGCGATTGATATCAACTCTTTGTAATTAAACGGGGCCCCAGACCTTCAAATAAAGACGATGTTGTAGAAACGAAAGTCGACGATGTGGAACTGGAAGATAAAACTATAAGAGTATAGTTCTGACCTGCAAACGAATAAACCAGAGTCTCTGACGATGTCGAAAAGGAGAAAATAACTTTATGACGATATTGGAGAAACGAAAGTCGACGACGTGGAAGGTAAGAGTACAGGTCTGACCGTAGAGAAGAGGGCTCTTACGGAACCCAAGTCTGTATCCCTATACATTTTGTACGTGGGGTTTTATGTTATCCTTTTATTTTCTTCATAGTCCTGACTCCTTATCCATTGTATGCCAGGTGGGAAAATGGTTGGGGTAGATTTTATACTTTCTTAACTTCTATGAACAAATTATATTTTCAGGTGATTGGTACACTTTAATTTTCTGTGTTTTCATATTTTTTTGTCCATACAGGTAGCTCTTTGAGATTTACAGACCCTAATGCTCAGCTAAACATCAGCGTTGAGAGAGGAAAATACATGATTCCGTCAATGTTGTGCAACGCTGAGGGTTTCACCAGCATCACCTGGCTAAAAGATGACAGGTTTTTAAACTTTCTGTGATCATAAAACAATAAATCATTAAGAAGTTTCAGTAATTGATGTAAGCCTTTATGTGGATCGGTTGTAATTGGCTGGATCGGCTGTAAGCAAATTTGTTGTATAAAAGTGACACCTGTTATTGATAATAAGTTTTATGAAATATGACTCCGTTTTTAATTGTTTTCATCATTCTACATAATGTATATAAACTTCTGTTACTTTAAAGTCTGAATCCTATCATGAAAGGATTGTCATCAGATGAAACTTGAAAAAACAAAGTTATAAAAAACAGAACAACAAACAAAAACACAATTTAAAAATAAAAAGATTTGCAAGTTGAGGGGCAAAATTCTGTGAAATTAGTAAAGGGGCAATTATCTTTTAGTTTGAATATTTGAAGTATACCAATTGGATAAAATGATGGGGGGGGGGGGGTGTTCTCCCTTAAATTCGCTTTGGCATTCCCCTACTTTGTATATGTAGTACATATTTAGCCTTTCTCCACTGTCATATTCGTTTCAGCTTTGAGTTCCCATTTGGTTTTATGCCTGGCAGCAGTAAAGCCCACACGAGTCTGACAGACTGTAATCAGACCGTGCAGATTAAAAACACACAAAAAGATGCGATCGGGAACTATACATGCATGGTGTCCAATGGTGAAGAGACGATACAGAGGACATTCCATGTAATTGTAGAAGGTAAGTGATAAGACAGGGAGAGCAGTATAATCACCGTATGGTAATATGTCCGTGGGGTAGCCTCATTATAATATTAAATTATTATTATTATTATTATTATTATTATTATTATACTTTTGTTGTTGTAGTGCTTACAATCAAAGTCTCTACTATTTCAGCTAATGTCCCGTGTTCTATTAAAGAGTTGGGATTGACTCAATTAATTGATATAATAATGATGACGATGATAATGGTGATGATGATAATGATGATGAAGATGAAGATGAACGGATGAAGATGAAGATGATGATGATGAAGATGATGATGATGATGATGATGATGATGATGACGATGACGATGAAGATGAAGATGAAGATGAACGAATGAAGATGAACGGATGAAGATGAAGATGAAGATGATGATGATGAAGATGATGATATTACTGATGATTAAATTAATGATAGTAATAACAATAAGAATAATAACAACAATAACAATGATAATAAATTAAATTAGATTAAATGTTAAATTACTCATTTTTCAAATGATTTAGAGGATTGTACGACACATGCTCCAGTGAAAATATCCTACATCAGCCAAAGTCCAAACCCCTAGACCAATCACTTCACTTTAAACCGAACCTAAAACCCGTTAACCTAACCTAACCTAAAACAGAAGGAGCATAATTATGTTGGACAACCGATTAAAGCAGGATCAAAATCATTTCTGACAGATGAGAAATTCACTGGCGATCCATCTACGATTGACCATGCCAACTGCAGTGATATGGCGGTGAAACCTGGGGAAGACGTCTACCTCTTTTGCGAGTTCTGTGCCGGGGACAAATCACATGTAACAGAAGTCAGATGGAATAAGCTGGATGAAGATGAGAATCTGGTACCTGTAAATCAGCTAACAGATGAAGAGGATGAGGATGGGAGCCGGTATTGGGAATCACCTAACATTTACTCCAGAGATTGTTTGGAAACATAGTAAGAGTATCTCTCGATTTGATTTGATTCGATTTGAATTTAAAAATCTTTGATTTAAAAAAAGGAAAAATTATGAATAGCTTGTATATTTTCTTTTTTGAATGAGATGATAATACAGCAACAAGGTCTCTCAGAAATGTACATATATTACATTATTACCCCGGTCATCGGATTCAGGCTTCTTGCCTACACATAATGTATGCACATTCTCCGCTCCCTGGAGAGCATTCCAACCAGGCCCCAATTTTTAGATGTCCACAAATGCTGGTCAAACTACACTGACTTATTGCATCCTACCCATTAAACACCCTAGCGGAAAGTGGTAAATGTGGATTAATATTTTGCCAAAGAACATTAGTGCCAGGCGGGGATTTGAACCCTCACCCCTTGGATTGAGAGTCAAGTGATAAACCACTATACCATGGCACCTCCACCTATCACCACTATCACGTATTATACAATTCACTCCTAGATCCTAATCAAATGATTGGTCAAACGTGATCACATGTGATTCATTAACTGAGAATATCACATAGATTGATTACTGAACTCACTCGCATCAGGACAGCTTCCTGCTCGCATGCGTCATGTGTATATGATCACCATTTTTGCTTTTTTCTAGCAATCTTCCAGCTGCAGTTGGAAGGCAGTTAATAATCAGAGATGTTACAACAGACATGTTTGGTAGCTACGTCATCACTGCGAATTACACCCTCAGCGGAGCATACAAGGGAGCCTCCATACAAATCACTGTATCACGAGGTATGTATTTAACCCGTTGACAGCTGAATTCTCTTAATCCCATGGGATTAATACAGAGATCAACTGAGAATGGCTTAATCTTACCATCTTCCAAAAAAAGACATTCCAAGTAAAAATTAAATTTTATTCTAGTGCACATCATACTTTTGCATTTCATAGCCAGAGATCGATTAGTGACTGCGATTGTGGGCCCTTGGTGCATGCAGATGTTTTTTCCACCTATCTGTTATGCTTAACATGGTGTTATTTTGTCCCAGTGGATTTTTTTGTTGAGGGGGGGGGGGGGGGTCTACTTTGTAATTAAAATCTTACTCAAGGATGTTAGGATGAGCATTTGGTTTAAAGGTTTCTGCAGGCATTTGCAAGTCACATGGTCAACACAATTATTATTATTATTATTATTATTATTAATTGAATTTACTTTTAGTAAAGAATCTTAAGTCTGAGGAAGGTAACACGCATGTGACATTTCACGATCAGCGGTCATTCTAAATAATACAAAACGAAAATATGAAAATCAGACAAACTCCTTTTTCAGAGCTTGTGTTGCAGCAAGTGTATTGATATTTAAAAAAAAACTCAATATCTATGTGTACTGTTAAGAATTAATTTTTACTTTAGGGTATGCTAAATTGGTTTGTGTTTTTGTTTTGTTTAATTGGGCATAAAATAAGTTCAATGAAAAATAAACTTCACATTAATGATTTGAGGTTGCATCTTTCTTGGAATATATGGGCTCTCTTTAGTCAAGTTCGGTGAAGACAATTGTCATGGAAAAAGCAAATTTTGTCTTTCATAACAATTCTATACAGGAAGTCAATGAAGCAGGTTTTGTGTATTGCATCTCATCCTAACATTATTATTAAAGCTTATCTGCCATAGTTTACAGGAGGGATTAGACCGCCCTGCAAGGTCACTGGACAGATGGTTATCTCATCAACTCAGCTCTCAGTTAAAATAAGAAAAAGAGCATCATGGGGGACCAATGGTCACCGATTAGGCATTGTTTGTTATATAGAGGGCGCAAGTAGCTACAAGTAGTGCAGTGGGCCTTTAAGTAAATTTTGATTCTATTTTTTGTTCGTATTGCTAGCACCTGACACGATGACTGAGATCACCGTTGGCGTCGTGGTATCATTGACTGTCATCTTCTTGGTTGTTACCGTGGTAACAGTGACCTGTCACAAATATCATCTGACACTACAGCTCTACTGGAAGAACCGATTTGGAAAGATTGAAGAACATGGTAAGATCTACAAGCGGGTAAATAACCATTCATCCCAATTCCAATATGTCCATTCTTGGACATCTGAGTTGATGAACGGACAATGAGAACCTTAATGTTCAGTCTTAACCACAGTGACTGCGCTTATGGGCCCTCGATTAGACCCAATATGTAGTAGATGAAACGATCAGCAGCCCAATTAAAGGGATTGGATCTTGAAATGAAAATATGCAGTTCTGATATATAATTTCCAAACGGAAATAGAAAATCGGTCGATTTTAGTCAAGAAACATTGTTTTGAATCTAAAGTAATATCAACCTGAGAGGGAGCTATACAACATAACGAGCTTATTATTCACAATTTGGACTCGATCTCAACCGCGACAACGATGGGAATATTGTAGGGTCGCATATGCTTCCAATATGTACATTCGAACCAATTTCATGACCCCATACCAAAACTTTGTATTTTCTTTAATTGATCATTAGACTAAATATTAGGACTCCATGCTAGTCAGACTACTTTTAGAATCACGATCATATTTTATGAAGGAACAAAAATGTGGAACATAAATCTTGTCGTAATTACTAAGTCATTATTTGATTTCACTCTCTTTACGTTTCTTGCTGACGTAGATGGAATGGAACATGATGCCTTTATCAGCTTCAGCGACTCACCGAACGATGGGAGGTTTGCCATCGCCGTAGCACAGCTTCTCCTTCAGCGGGGTTATAATGTATGGATGAGAGATATGCATTCTATACCAGGAGAAGGTAAGAAAATGTCAGTTCAGACGTATCACCAGATTGCTGGAAGATGACTAAATAGAGGTGTTGTAGTGGAGTGGTTTAAGCACTTGACTTGAAATGCAAAGGTTGTAGGTTCGATCCCCGGCAGACCCCTCAAACCTTCTCTTAACAAAGACGAGGAGTGCTATATACAAACTTGTGAAATTTTGATGACCCAATTATTGCCAATTAGGTCAGAAAGGTCAAGTCGGGTCATATTGCTGACAAAGGGCGTAGTGAACAGCAATTTCGAAGGTAAAGATTTTCGCCCGAATTAACAAAGGAGGTTTGTCGACAAACCTAGGTTAATGTGCGTCATTATTTTATGACGCGTTTTGATGCGTTTCAGACCAAAGTTCAGACAAACGTTCGTCTGAAACGCGTCAAAACGCGTCATAATTATGACGCACATAAACCTAGGTTTGTCTACAAACCTCCTTTCATGATTGCATGTTTGTATCCATTGCTATTCTTCTCCATCGTTGTAGCATTGATAGCGGAGGAGATTGTCAGCATGAAACGAAGCCGACGATGTATTCTCATCATCTCTCCCGAATACTCAACATCATCTCATAGTGAAGTCTTGGTGAGTGAGCTGTACTTACAGATTCCAGGACTCCCTCAGGGTTGGGGGCACAAGTAACAACAAATAATAATGAAGACAAAAATTGAGTATATCATACATCCCGTTCCCTTTTTTTACTAGGGGTCACTATAGGCTCTTTGTTATCGTGATATTCCAAGGATATTTCAAGCCAGCAGATTTTGTATCTACACTGTATATTTGACTCTTGTTATCCTGAATAAATATATTTCAATAAAATAAACAAAATAAATTTAATTTAACTGAATTTAGGAGGAGTCATGTTGGAGATGCAGCCTCATTTTTTCTTGATTTGATTCTGCCAGGTTCACATGTACTCCAATTTAATTTCTTAATTAAGACCGACTCGTCAAGTGCATATACATAAAAATTATGAACCCCATTCCATTCCGCAAGATTATTCAAAAGTTAATGAATGGAACACCAAAAGATGAGAGTTATGTGCTATTACTCTAAAAGACACAAGTAATTTCTTTACAGGATGTTCCCTTTTGAACAAACAATGCTACACCCTGAATTAATGTTGGCTCATTGCAACGTCATACACCAGAAATAAACTATGACTGTGCATAGATTTACCATGAGCATTGCACCTAGAAGTTTAGCTGATTTATGTATGCTTGGAGCAAGCGTCATGGGAGCTTGAGCTGGCAGATACCGGCCATACGGAAGACATCATTATTAATATTCTTGTAATGTTTGATCCCAACCCCCCACCTAGACTGATTTGGCAGCTGACCAGACTCTAAGGAAGAGAAGTCGAATCATCCCCATCCTCTACCGAGACGTCACCAGGGAGCATTTCAAGCGACACCAACGTCTGGCTGAGATCATCAGGGTGTGTCCCTGCATTATATGGCAGGAGATGGAAGACGCTGGTTCCTTGGATGACCAGCTTAGTAATAACATCAGTGGGAGTAGCTCAGAAGGAGTGCATGGCAATGGCTTCAGTGGGAGTGGCCTTGGAGAGATGCCAAACAACGATGTGAGTGGGAGTGGCCTAGAAGAAATGCGTAGCAACAACTTGAGTGGGCGTGGCACAGTAGAAATGCCAAGTAATGTCTCTGGGTGTGGTACTGGAGAAATGCCTATCAACAGTAACAACAGTATCAACAGTACAAATGATGATGAAGGCACAATTGCCTGCCATAGCAACAATGGAATGAGGATGACTCGTAGAGATGGAGATAGAGATCAGCTTATTGAGGACCAGGAAGAAGGGGAGAGAAAGAAGAGGGAGATGAAGATGAAGAAGCAGAGGGAAAAGAATGAGAAAAAACTCCTTTTGAAAATGCCGCCTAAACGATTAGTTGCTAGTCATGCTGGAAATACAGCTTCAATGGTAGTTTAGTCTATTCATGTGTCGGATCATAACCCCCTTTCTTTCTCTCTCTATCTCTCTCTCTGTCTTTCTCTTCCACTTCATCTCTCTCTCTCTGTCTTTCCCTTCCACTTCATCTCTCTCTCTCTCCCTCTCTGCCTCTCTGCCCCCTCTCTCTCTCTCTCTCTCTCTCTCCCCCTCTCTCTCTCTCTCTCTCTCTCTCTCTCACACACACACACGCCAAATAACTATTCAAGTATGTACTACCATCGCAGATGTAAGTGTGAGATTAACATTTTTACTATCATGCTTTCACTACAATCATGCCACCAAAAACAAGGAAGATGGCTCCCCAGCCTGAGGAAACCCATGATATATGTGATCAGATAAGTGATGAGGTCAGAGAGTATTTCAACAGCCAAGGATTTAAAGACTTGTTTCAGACATCCCTTGTTGAAGGTGTGACAAGGGAGTTGCACCATCTTCGTGATCGACTGGAACAAACAGAGAGTAAGGTAATGGATCTGGAAATTGCGCTCCAGTCACAAGCTTCCATTATAACTTCACTACAGAAAGAGCAAACTTCTAGATCTGAAGTTATCAAGTCATTGAGGTCCAAGTTGAATGAAGAAGAACAGTACTCAAGGAGGAACAGTCTACGATTATACGGCATCCCAGAAAAGGACAAAGAGGACACCGACGCAGTGATGATAAATCTTGCAAACAAAGATCTTGGTATAAATCTGAATCTGGCTGATATTGACCGCTCACATCGTGTTGGTACCCCGCGCCATGATAAGAGACCAGGAGACAAGACGAAGCCTCCACGACCCATCATCGTCAAGTTCTCTACTTATCGTGCTCGCCATCTAGTGATCAGGAACAGGAAACAACTTAAAGGGAAACACATAGGAATTGACGAAGACTTGACAGCAGCAAACAGAATGTTGCTTCAAAAAGCAAAGGATGAAGTGAAACTCAACACAAATGCAATTGCCGCGTGGTCCACAGATGGCAGAGTAACTGTTCTAGTGAAAGCCACGAACGGAGGTTCGGTAAGGAAAAGAATACACTCAGTGACTGATCTTAAGAAAATATGAAAATATTGTCATGTAAAGCGTAAACAGGTAAATGCTGAGTTAATATACATTTATGCTCATATCAGTAGACTATATCACTCAATGTAGTGAAACCATATTCAGCTGATGAGAAATAATGCGAATACCATGTATTAGTCTTAATATCCGCTTGTACTACCGATACATTATATTATATTGCAGACTTTTCCGTTTTTGTTTTTGATAGTATATAGTTTAACGTACTATGTTGTGTACTTGTATTTTATGTAATAGGCAGAATTCTACAACTTGTGATAATTGCTCTCTTTGCAATCGAAGCTCAAGAGAGTATAAATCTTTAGCTACTACATTTAATGAAGAACTTCTTCCGGATAACAAAGTTTATACTCCTGATGAATTTTATGAATCTACTAAAAATTTCGATACTTGTTCTATAGTGACTTTATTTCATTTTAACTGCCGTAGTTTAAAGCGCAATTTTGATAATTTCTTACAATGTGTCCAAACATTTTCCAGACCTATGTCAATAATTGGGGTCACTGAAACATGGCTTAAGAGTGATGATGATGATAGCTATTTTTCTCTTCCCCAATATTCCTTCCTAAGTAATCCTCGACAAGGAAAAAGAGGGGGAGGCGTAGGAGTATTTATTCATGACAAAATAAGATTTAAAAGAAGACCAGATTTAGATGTGTTTACTAATGCTGTTGAGAGTATTTCCATTGAGGTATATAATAAAGTACAGAATTATATAGTTCTTGTTATGTATAGACCACCACACCAAGGAGTACAATCTTTTATAAATGATACACAAGCACCGCTGAATGTTATTATGAATGAGAAAAAGGAGAGCATCATTATGGGTGATTTTAATGTTGATCTATTGAAACTTGATGTTATTTCATATGTTAATGAATTCATTGATAACTTTATTTCACTTTCTTACTTACCACAAATAATCAAGCCAACCCGAATAACCTCACATTCTGCGACTACTTTGGATAATTTCTTCTGTAATAATCCAGAAAAGGTTAAGCTGAGTGGAATAATTTTAACAGATGTCAGTGATCATCTTACTCCTTTTATCATGATTTTATCTCAACCTGATACAGATGATCCTCAAATAATTTACTCAAAACGTGACTTCAGTGATGTTCACATCAATACATTTTGTTCAAAGTTACAGTCTGTGAAGTGGGAATTTTTAGATCGTCTTGATGATGTTAATCAGAAGTATGAAAGTTTTCTTGAAATATATGTGAAATTGTATAACGAATGTTTCCAAAAGGTAGAGATAAAAAAAAAGAAACATGCAAACGTTAAACCTTGGATTACAATAGAAATTAAGAAAATGAGTAAACATAAATATATTTTATACAAAAAATATCTTAAAAATCCTACGACATATCGCAGAACGACTTATGTAAATTTTAGAAATAGATTTAATAACTTGATACGTGATACAAAACGTAAATATTATGATAATAAGTTTAAGGACGTAATGAACAATGCAAAGAAAACATGGAATGTTATAAATGAAGTTTTGAACAAAAGAAAAAGTAAGCATGATGTTAATGAAATCGAATATGAAGGTAGATCTATAAAGGATAAATCTCATATTGTAAATCTATTCAATGATTACTTTAGTACAGTTGGACAGAAGATTCATGATAAGTTGGATAGTGCAGTAACTACATCATTTAATAGCTTTTTACAGGGATCTGTTTGTGAGTCTTTATTTTTTAGCCCAATTACAGAATCTACTATAATTAATATTATATCGAGTTTTGATGTAAGTAAATGTCCTGGTTACGATGAAATTAGTGCTAAAATTGTTAAATCTTCTATTAATGCAATTGTGTCTCCTTTGTGCAATATATTTAATTCTTCTCTTGAAAAAGGCATATTTCCTAATGCATTAAAAATAGCTAAAGTTATACCAATTTATAAGAATGGCAGTAAAAATATGTTGAATAATTATAGACCAATCTCTATTTTATCAATTTTTAGTAAAATTTTAGAAAAAATTGTTTATGATAAATTAATATATTTTATTGAAAAACACAATATTTTGCACAATAAACAATTTGGCTTTAGAAAGGGATATAGTACTACCCATGCATTGATTGAATTAACAGATAAAATTGCCAAAGCCTTTGAAAAGAAACACATAGTGATATCTCTCTTTTTAGACCTGTCAAAGGCGTTTGACTGTATTGACCATTCAATTTTACTTAAAAAACTGAAATATTATGGAATAAGGGGAAATGCAATACAGTGGTTTGAAAGTTATTTGTGCAATAGGAAGCAATATGTAAGCGTTGATAATTTTAATTCAGAACATAAAAGTATTTCAGTAGGTGTACCTCAGGGATCTAATCTCGGCCCCCTTTTATTTTTACTTTATATTAATGATCTGCAATATGTTAGCAATATTTTATCAGTAATTTTATTTGCAGATGACACAAGTTTATTTTTATCAGGTAAAGATCCAGTTGCATTAAATAATCTATTAAATTCAGAAATGAAAAGCATACAAACTTGGTTTACAGCCAATAAACTCTACATTAATCGCGATAAAACATGTTATATGATATTTAAGAGTAGGAATTGTAGAATACAAGATAATGTAATAAATATTAAACTTAATGATCTAAGTATAAAGAGAGAAACCAGTACTAAATTTCTTGGAGTAATCATTGACGAAAACTTGAACTGGAAGGAACATGTTAATTACATTGCTATAAAAATATCTAAATCCATTGGAGTCTTTAATATTTTAAAACACATTTTACCTCTGAAGATTTTAACAAATTTGTATAACTGTATGATTCTATCACATTTTATGTATTCTAATATTGTATGGGGTGGATGCTCATTTTATTTATCACAAAAATTGTTTTTACTACAGAAACGTGCAATACGAGCAATAACCAAATCAAACTATTTAGCACATACCCAACAATTATTTAAAAAGTTAAAAATATTGAATATATTTGATATAAATAAATTACAACTAGCATCGTTTATGTTTTCTTATTCTAAACAACTATTGCCCAATAACTTTCATGACTATTTCGAATATAATCGCAACATTAATAAATATAAAATAAGAAACTCCAATAAAATGTATGTACCTTTTTATATTTTTAATTTTTCAAGAACTACAGTAAGTTTTAAAGGCCCACAGCTTTGGAATGAGTTGCCAAACGTATTAAAAGAAATATCCACTGTTTTTACATTCAGGAAAAAATATAAATGTTATCTTCTTAATTGTGAGTAGTTTTATTTGATCTAATTGCCTTTTTTGAGATTTATGTAAATAATTATGTTGTGTTTTTATGTGATTATGCTATGTTATATTATCTGTTTGTTTGATTGTTTTTATTTTTTTATATTTTGTATAATGTATTTTTTTTTTTTTTTGAAGGGTGGAAATATAGGGGATCAACCTTGACAGGCCAATGGCCTTTGTTGATCCCTCACATCCTCCACCCTTCATCCTTCTTTCATCAGTACAATGTAAATGAATGTTGTTGTTTTTTGTATATATTTATATTGTTTTAATTTATGATTTGTTTGTATATCTTTTGATGTGTTTTTAAAGTGATGTGAAATAAATTGAAAAAAAAAAAAAAAAAAAATTGAATACAATGTGTGTTAAAATTTGTAAAGTTCACCTCAAAGATTACAAGTAAGGTTAGGGTAAGGATATCGCACAAAAATGAATACAATGGACAGAAAGTAGTGTTCAATATATATATGTATATGTATGAAACAAAATATGTGCACACGATGTTTGATGAGATGGAATGCTATTCGAAGACACTGTCGGCAGTGAAAAATGAAATAAATTATATATCAACGGAAAGCTTATAAGCCATAGATTACAATAATATCACCACTGTAACTGCGGCAAATTCGACCCCTGTTGACCTGTTATTTGGAGGGGTG